TAATGAAATGTATATATTATAAGAAATACAAAGATAAAGAAATGTATAAAAAAATTTCAAGATATCCATTTTGTAGAGTAGATGTTGACAACAAATTTAGTAAAAAATTTCTTATTAATGTTCAGTAAGAAATTATCTATAGCATTTTGAAGTTGATGAAAATTTGAGTTTTTGNTATAGCATTTTGAAGTTGATGAAAATTTGAGTTTTTGTATTGAATTTTACGATATCAAACATTACAATATGAATTGAGAAAAAGACAAAAGAAAACGAATAGTAATACTACCCATTTTATAATCCTCATCGGTAATTATTTATTATAAATGAATGATAATTAAAATTAGAGAATGTAAAATTATGAAAATATCTTTGAGTTGTTGTTGAATAAATATTGATAACATCTAATGAATTTGAACTCTTTGTGTGATTATATAAGATATTATGATTTTATATTTATTTCGTTTTTAGTAATATTTGATTCTTTATTAAAATATTTTAAATTCTTCAGTTACACCAATTTTTAAATAAATATAAATGTTCAAAAATATCAGCTAAAAGAGAAACATCAGTTCTTAATTATAAGTCGGAATAATCTCCCAAAGTTAAACAGTTAAATTTATCCCAAACTTTTGTAGTAATACAAAAAATAAGCAAAAATGGTGAATGGGGAATTTTATTTGACCAATGTTGGATGTTAGGGATTTGGTTAATTCAGGAGCAACGAGGTTCTAACGGGGTTGTAGAGTCCGAGGGTTTAGAACAGTAAAGACAAGTAGAAATAAAAAGATACAAATTAATTTCCTCTCATANATAAAAAGATACAAATTAAGTTCCTCTCATAGAGGTATTAAAACGCTGAGGTATTCTTGTAGTGGCCGGGGTCTTGGCCTCCTATCTGACACCCAGTCGAAGCGTGATGTTAACTGGTATGTGCTTTAGTGGAAATACTGAGGCGTTCATGGAGTGGCGGAGGCCTCCTCTCAGACACCTAGTCGAAGTATATGACCAAGCACTAACTAGTTATTAATAATTAAATTAACTGATGTTTAAAAAATCTATTGCTTTACCATTCTTTACTCAGATTATTAATTCTAAATAATTGGGTTAATATAAATTTACTTACTTCTTTTATATATCTCACGTTCAGATTTATACTTTTCCTTTTTAATAAATAAATAACGTATTGACGCAAAAATAATTGTACTTGAAATCGCTATAAAACATACCGACGACAACACGGGGTCGTGGCTAGTTTGTTCAAAATAAATCAAATAGAAGAATCCTGAATTCCTTATTGAATTCAAATCTTCAAAAAAAAGAGAGAATTCTCCTCTCTTAGAAAATCAGCGCCTTTTTATATTACTTTTAATTACCTCCATCATGGGTTTGTAATAAACCAAAAATAAAAAGAAAGAAAATAAAAAGAGCTTGAAAGCATATGTTAAATATAAAAAGAAATTAGGGGTTCTTAATAGATTATTGTTATCATTATTTGTTATAAGTTTTTGTAATTTTAATGTAGATTTAATTGTCTTCGATTTTATTTAAATTAATTTTTTTATTAATTGTTTCTCTCATTAATTATTAATGGTTTATCACGCAATAGATTGTTAGGAGTTCGAAAGCATAAGTTAAATTGTACTTACCTTACGTCCTGTGTGATACAATAATATTTTAAGTAATCCAGTGTTGATTTCCGTATTAAACGCACTACGTATACGATTTACTCTATATGTAATATAGTCTATATAATTGCTTACAAAAACGACTCAAGACTTTAAATAATATGATTTAATTACACAAAGTCTAAGACTGATCTTACTTGTAAAAGATTTTAAACACTCTGTATTTTGTTATAAAAACAATTTTAATTTTTTATTTATTGATTTTTTACGTCTGTTGAATAAGTATTTTTTAGAGAGTATATTTTATTGAGAGATCGATACCAATATTTCTTAAATTTTCCTCTGGCCTGGCCAAAACAAGATTCAGAAATATCTATATCTATGTAAAAAATTTATCAAGGCAGAATTGTGGTGGCCCAATGTGTCCCGGTGCTAAAATAAAGCACCTTGAAAGGATGCGGCACAATAATAACCAAGACAAAAATTAAACACTGCAAATATATTCGTAAGTTTCTCTACGTTGTCTGCCGGCGCGATGTTTATTAAAACAAAGACATTAGCAACGAGACTAGCTACCCAATACGCATAGGCTTACAAATATATTCTAACCTAATATACCTAATTCTAGAACAATGTCTAGTTGCAACCTTTACTCTGTCTGCCGGCGCGATGTTTGTTAAAACAAAGACATTAGCAACGAGACTAGCTACCCAATAAGAAAAGCTCACAATAAATTTTTATTATTAAATGAATATCTAAATTTAGGTTGGATTTATTGTTAAAATAAAATAATTTAAAAAAAATATAATGTTTAAAATATTATTTGATGTTTATTTTCATAACAAGAAAAATAAAATATTATTAATGATTGAACAAATTAAATTAAATTAAAAGATTCACCAAAACAAAATTCACTTTAAAATTTCTAAGTGTCATTTAGTTTTAAAGAAAAATATTCTAAGTCCAAATTAATTAAAAAATCGACTAAGTCCCGGAGAGTGAAATCTTGAGTAGAGTGTCGTAGATTTTGTGTATTTTAAAATCGTCAAAAGAACTGGTTTAGATGGGGAAAAATGGCTTTTTATAGTGTGAAGGGGGTAGCCCAGCGATCTCTACCGTGATCCTAGAAGCTGAGGCTTTGTATTGTAATTGGTTAATTAAAAGAGGGTCCCTGCGTGTAGGCGTTACTTAATAATTTCTACAAGAGGGAGATTTTATTGTATAATTAAAGGGTTATTTTGTATCTTAAATAAGAGAACCCTGTTTTGGTGATCTTGTATAATCATAATATGTGACATACATGAACAAATGATAACATCTTATTATATATTAATATTATATGTAATAATATAATATTACAAATGTACCCCTTTCTATTTTGTCATACGCCCTCGTATGACACACATAAAGAATAACAAAGACATTTTGTTCAATTTAACTTAATTATAAAACTTAAATATAAGGTGCATAATTCAATTGGATTTGTGTTTAATATAATAATTATAATATAATTGCAATAATCAATTGTTAAAAATGAATATAAGGTGCTTATAATGTAGTAAAAGTGCAATATAAAGTGATTAGAAATTTAATTGGAATATCAAAATTAATTTTTATAAATGAAAATTATAAATTAGATTAAAATAATTGTTAGTAAAAGTAAAATTATTCAAAAGTTAGTATATTAATAACAAATATAATGATATATTAGTATTGATAAAATAGATAAATGAAATAAGTATATTTTAGATAAAAAATGATAATAATTATTGAGGCTTTTTTTTAAAAAATACTTTTAAGAATATAAAATAATAAAACTATAATTTAAAATACTAAAAGGATATAAATTAAATTTAAATTTTAAAGTTAGATAAAATAAATTTGAATTATAATAATTATAAAATATTAGAGTAACTTAAAGTAATAATAATGTAAAATAAATAAAATACAATTCTTACATTAATAGACATTTGTAATAAAATTATTTTGAATAGCTGAAAACAGTTATTTAAATTTTAACATATAATCATAGTACAATCAATAGTAATTCACATTTATTTAAAACTTACAAGTTAAAATCAGACATATTTATTATTGTTAATTTGTTTATCTGTTACAAAGAATATAATATTTATATTTAATAATGTTCGTATAATCTTTACTAAATATACATAATTATTTGGATTATCAGATTGATAAGGTTAACATTCATTATCAGTGATATTACAATGTAATGTTTACAATCTAAGAGTGCATGTGTTATATGTTTGACTTGGTTTATAATTCTGATTATTAATAAGATACAGTAATAAATTGTGTGATAAGAAGTCTTTTGTGATATTTGGATATAATGTTTCCTGGAGATTTAGAGTGTAAATATTTTGTTACATATGGCCGATTGTTTGTAAACCAACGAAATGGTGAGAACAGTTCGTCCCTAGTTTCAGTGTCTAACTTCGTTTGAGACACGGTTTTCCAGTATTAACAAAAGAGTGAAACATGTGCAGAAATGTTATTACCACATTGCCGCATTCATTTTACTTTATGTGTTTATTCTGATCGTGTGAGTATGAATGCATAATTATGTATCCCAATGAGTACTTATCAACAATCTTAAATGGAAATTATGTTAATACTTTTATATTTATGACAAACTTATGATAAATCAAAGAGTGAACTGGGTGCATGTGTAAAAAGTAACGTATTTTTGTTTAGTTAGTTCTGAATCGAGAAGTTTGAATATTGAATCTTTTGTATTGATTAGATAAGGATTCTGGGTTGGAAGTGAGTGCTTCTTTTGTGTAATAGGGTTTCATGCTTCTTATGTGAACAACATCCTTTGTTACTTTATTGTGAAGTTTTAATTCTATTAAATAATTGACATCACTTATTTTGGATAATACCTTTAATAGACCAAGATATTTTTGTGTGGTTGGGTTTGGGGGGTTTGTCATGTTCTTGAAAAGGGAAAATAATTAATATTAATTGCCCAGGTGTGAATTGTGTTAATTTATGAGTTTTATCATAATTGTGTATTTGTATTTCTTGTTTGATTTATTTGTCCTCAATAGTGGAATGATTAATTAGTGGATTCTAGTCTTTAGAAATTCTTTCAGAGACTGTTATAATCAATGGAAAACTACAGTCTAAGTAGTAATTGTTTAAGTACTGATGTTTTATATCATGATCCTTCATATGCAAAGAAATTAGGAAATAATTATCTGATAAAATTAAATCTGACTGATTTCAAAAGTTCTTGTTTTTAGTTGAGTATAAGGAAGTATGGTAGTTATTTTGATTTTTTGAATATATAATTTCATGAAATGGTTAATGAAATTGTTGTAGTACAATTATGTTGATGATTTGAATGTGATAACAAGTGAATATTAACCTGAGAAAGCGAGTACAAAGGAGTATTGTTGGCTTCATTTTTGACATTGTTGATAATTTCTTAATTTAACATAATTAAATGTATATATGACAACATTTGTACATAAGAATTACTTAAATAATATACATAAATGTATATAACAATAAAATTATTTATTTGAGTGGCAATGCAAAATTACCATACTAATAATTCTATAATTTATTGTAATTTAATACTAATTAATTTAAGTATAACATTTTTGTGCTTAAACATAAGTATAAGATTAAAAATAGGTCATATAGAATAATATCTTAAGTAGCTATAAATTTTATAAATATGTAGTGAATGATAAAAATGTGTTGTAATCTGAATCCACATTAAATAAATTTTTATTTAAATAAATGAAAAATAATGAAACTAAAGTTTAAGTAAAATTTTAGGTAATTACGATAGAATAAAATTAAAGTTATTGGCTAAAGCTAATTTTAAAATCTAATAATTATTAATTTAGGTTACTCGATAAAAATTAAAATTCTTAAATAATATTTAAGTAATGAAATTGAAAATAATATATATTTTTTAAATTAATGTTTATGAAGTGTTTTTATTTAGTGTTAGTTTATTATTAAATTAAGTAATTCATATTTTAAAATTAAGAATCAAAATAATATATATATTTTTTTTTTTTTGAGAAATATTAATAAGTGTGTTAGTATTAATTAAGTCATGCAAATTTTTGTTAGAGTGATAAATTAGTTAAACAAATATGTCATTTTATTAGTAGCAGATATATTTTTTTTTTTTTTGATTTTACATGCAGAGTGAATTTAATTAATGATACTTGAATAACTTAGTTTATTCTTTTTATAAAATGGAATTTTTGAATAAGGTGCTAAATATTTTTGATTATAAAGTCATTTAAAAAATTTTTTGTTTCATTAGATACCCTTTATTTATATAAAGTTTTAATTATACTTTGGTAAAGATAGTATTCCTTTTGCTATTAGCCAACACCTCGTTCACTTGGATTTTATATTGTGTTAAATAATTTATCAATATTTGTATTATTATAAATAATTATCTCATGGTTTTTATATTATGTTTTTTATTAATCTATCTAGTTATATCATTGGAGATAATTATCATAGTTCTTATACGTACGTAATTAGTATTTATTTCATTTAAATTTTATATAAGCCCATTTGTCTTATGGCATTTCTTTGTAATTTTTCTATATCAATAGTATTAAAAATATTTTCATAGGGAATAGTATTGGAATTATCATTAGTAACATTGTTTGCAATGTTATTAATATTTAGAGCAGGCCTGCTATATGGGACATAAATAGTATTTAGATATTTTTTTTGAATCATTGGCATCAATATATTTATCATTAGTAATAATTTTGTTTGCAAAATGTATTACTTCATTGGATTGTTTAGTATTTATATTAGCTAATATATTATAATTATTGTCCCTAGTATAATCGTATTCATAGTTTATCATATTATCATTTATTATATTTTTATTAATTATGCCAAAATATTTTTCTTTAGTATTTATATATTCAATTGGATTATGATCATTGTGTTGGTAATTTATATTATTTCTAGAAATATTTTCACTCGAGTTTATGTATTTTATGGTACCATTGTTTTTATTAATATCGATATTAAGTGTCACATTAGGTAATTCATTGTAGGATTCAATTTTGCAATGATCGAAAACTACAGTGACAATAATAGTCATTATCCCTTCGCGAGAGAGACAATCAGCGACTAAATTGTCTTTTCTTTTTTTTTTTTATTTTTAGGATAAAATCGTAATCTAAAATTTTCAATGTTAAACAAGCTACTCTTGCAGATAGAATTTTTTTTTAGATTTTTATATTATTTAATAATATTTTATAATGATCTTTAAGTCTATCATAGGGGCCTCAATGATAGAGTTTACTTTAGATTGGCCCCAGTATAATTCTTATAATTTTTTCAAATTTCAACATTAAATTTTTATTACCAATAACAAGGTGATGAATGTTAGCAAAAGGAATTTTCTATATATAAATGAATAGTAGAATATTGAGTAAAAATATTTTTGATTAAAGAATAAAAAGAATTTGTTGAATGAAATACTTAATTATATTAAACTGTATTAAAATATATGTGTTTAAATAAATTATTATCAAATGTATAAAATTTCTAGAGAAATTAAAATTTGTTGAATTAATAAACGTTATAAAAATATGGTAGAATTTTGTAACTTTTTTATAGTTTGAATTAAAAAGTAATTATTTATTAAATGTAAATCTAAGTTTATCTTGATTATGCTGTTTTGTTACTTTGTAACAAGTATCATTAATTTATATTAGTGTGATGTATTCTAAAATGGGATGTGCAATGAAATATTAATATATAAATATTTTATTAGTTTAGAGTTCTATCAAGTATTTTTTATTTATCTAGTATAAAATTACTGCTTAAAAAAATTTTTTATTTATTATTTTTTTTTTTTTGAATAAAATTGGATAAATGATGATAAAAATTTAAATGTATCTATTATTTTAGTTTTAATTTTGAACTGAAATATTCGATTAAAAATTATGTTTTATTTGATTTATTGAAGTTTAGGCAACTTTGTTTTTGTTTTTTAGTGTATATCAATAGTAATAAATTCTTTCTAATTAGCCTTGATTTCTTTTTTATTCTAATTTTTCATAGGCTTTTAATTATCATTTTACTGTGCCCTATATTATTTGAATCATAGGAGTCTCCAGTTATAAAAGTTAAGGTATATATATATAAAGTTGCTTTAAGATGTTTCTATATCTTTAAATTCAATTATAAAATTAACAAGTGTACATAACTTATTATAAAATTTTAAATAAAATATTTCGTTTTGGTATGAGTAATTATTTGTTCGAAAATTAAAAAAAATTGAATTATTCAAATGTTCATATTTAAAGTTCTAGTATAAATTTTTTTATGTATTAGCGTATGCATATTTATATTAATTTTTATATTTTAAAATAAATATTTTTTTTATTGGAGAAGTGTAACAGAAATTTTAATATATATATTTTTTAAATTTTTGATTATTACAGAACTCTAAACTAAGTTTTACAATCAGTATATTTAATAATATTTTGTAGTGAATGCACGTTATTTTTTTACCTGATAATTTTTATAAACTATAAATACATTGAATTTTATTTCTCTATTTTTTATAATATAATTTTTCCATTTTTTTATAATATTTAGTTTTATACTATTTTTTTGTTAGACAGCTAGTACATAATAAAAGATTATTTAATTAGATGGAATTTGAGTTCTTTTGGTTATTTCGATTTTATTTTTATCATGTAGCATATAGTCTTTTTTTGTAATTTTTTTTTTTTTTTTCATGATTTAATAATCGTTATATCTTTAAATTATTTTTATAAGACACATTAATTGATATAAAATAATTGTTTTATTTGGAGATATTAAATGATAAATACTTTTTTTTTTTTTTTTTTTTTT